CCCCCCCCCCTATTCTCATCCTCTTACCCTTTCTCCCTTTCTCACATTTCCGCAACTTCCCAATTGTTTTTTTCCAGAGTTTCCCAAGATTTTCCTACTTTTACCCAAAAGTTTTGCTGTCGATCGGGTGGGTAATAGCACATGTGAAATGGGAAAACCAGAAGAGTCAGCAATATTCCATAGAAGGTCAAGAGGGAAATACGACCCTCCCCAACAACGAGCAAATACGACTCCCCCCCCCCCCCCCACTTACAACCTCTCTGGGAGAAGAAAAACCCAACTATCAAAAATATTTTCTCAGACCAAATAACACCCCTCCCCTGTTGGGGAATCCATAACAACGATGTGCCTTGCTCCCAACCTATGCTTAGATTTACAGCGCAGACGGCTAGAGTCGCCGGGGTTCACTCTTGCAGAGCACACAATCTCTACGCGACTCTAACTGTCTGCGCTCCAGGCCTAAGTCTTAGACTGGGGAAGAGACGCATAGGAGCTGCGAAGTGGTCCTCCTAATACGTGAGTGCCAAACTCTGATTCTTATAGAAACTAGTCGGGTGTTCCTTTGAGTGGATATAATTACTAGTTTCCCTCTAGTACGCATTGATACACGAAAGGGCGGAGTACGGCTTGGAGAGGGCACCAGATGATGCTCAGCTCGGCTTGTGTGGCCATTGTGATGACCTGCAAGTTCCCGTGACCAATTAGTTCACATGAATAATTTCGCAGCTTCACAGGAGTTCCAGCACTGACCGAAGTGAGACCTGTTAGTCAACATGAACCAAAGAAAGGGGCTAGAGAAAGCGAGCGTAAAATGCGCCGTCCAAGCCGAACAGCGTCAAAAATAGATGCAAAAAGAAGGTACATCGAGCTGTATTCCATATAAAGCCTTGCACATATGAGCTAAATGGGTAAATTATTTCGGGAACAGTGACAGTTGCACTTTTATGGGAGGCATAATTGACAGCTGACTGACCACCTCTGGCTGCATATTATTGAACCATTAAAGATTAATTAATTGTGCACTACCCAACGTCAATTGATCCCCTTTGGGTACATGAACGCATTTCCGCTGATAACTTCAAAATTGGCTAAAATTAATGAATTAGCTGATTAATATAACGACTTACCTTAGTTACCTCGGAATGAACCTTGCAGAATTATATTATTTCAGTCAAACTAATTCAGTTAGTACTGTTGGTCGCAGAGCATTCTGGACACGGGATGGATCGTATTTGGTCGCACCTGGGATGATCGCATCGTCTTCAAAGAGAAATCTGTTGTGACCTTTTTCAATTATTCATGTTTCACGTGCGCTATATATCACAGCACCCTTCGATGCAGTGCAGATCGTTGTAGGGGATTCCTAACGGGGATCTTATTTGGTCGCTGGGAGACGGAGGGTGTTTATCTTCGCTGAGAGGAATTTTTTTTCGTTAGTCGATCTTCTTTGTATTGACTACGGAACGTTGTAAACAAAAGGGGGGGGGGGTCGCCCGTATTATTTCGGGTTTGTTGGGTAGTGGGGGGGAGGCGGTCGTGTTCCCTTCTGAAGAAGTTTGCCTGAGCTTTCCGCGACTCCCTGTCTCCTAAGTAGCTACATACACCCGCTCGCCCGCTCGACAGCAAATGTTTTTGAAATTTTCAGGAAATTTCGGAGGAAGTGGTAGGACGCTGGGGAAAATCTAAGAAATGGTAGAGGGGAGGTCGTATTTTCCTCGCGGGTTTTTCGTTTCACTTTACTACTTCACTTTTCAAGAAGCGCCATTTATCCGCCGCCACTCCCAACTGAACAGCTGCAACAGCGGAGAATTAGGGAGAATGGGGTCTTCCGTCAGACCCGCGCCCAGAAAGCAAAAAGAGGGCAGGGGTCCCTACCGATACTCGAATAAAATCCTCAGCTAATAATGCTTCGATAGCGTTCTTCAAAGGGAAACTAGAGAATTTCTCCGGTAAAAAAGTGCTAAAAAGTTGGAAAATTTAGAGAAATGGTAATGAGGATGGGGCATGAGGAAGAGGGAGGTATTAGGTGAGGCCAAGGAAAGAATTCTAGAGCAGGAAGGGGTTATTTATCGTCAGTGATTTTCCCCCACGATAAGACGTGCCCGTGCTCGATTGTCTCTCACTGATTCATCTAGAGTGAAGGTGCTGGTCGAACTGTCCTGTGACAAACCCGGAATAAGCGCCCTTTAGCGCGCTTTGAGAGCCCTAGAATGAAATCGAAGAGTCTGCAAAAAATACATTTTTTTCTTGAGAGGGGGGGAAGGGAAGTGAAGGGATTTTAAACTGCGGAAAAGGGGTAAAAGGGGTAGGAAGTTGATAAATAGGACATCACACAAGAGTAAGACATTCCAACGGGTAGAACGGTCGTGTTTTGCAAAAATTCTCTCAAATGGCAGGACGTGTTCTGCTCATAAAAGGGGTTCCCCAGCAGCGAAAACAATGCCTTGTTCACGTTGACTTGTTCCTACAACTACTGTATTTCTTATAACAACTTTATCTATTCAAAACAAGGAATAATCAAAAAAAATCTGTACAGTAATCCAACCAGGTGTTAATAACCTCGGAGAGAGCATCTAAAGAACTTCTTGCGTAGGACTGGAATTACCACAAGGTGTTGAGTTGTGAGCAAAAGTCAGATCCCAGAGCCAAGGGGGGGGGGGGGGAATCGAACCCGCATCTTCCCTCTGGGATCTGACTAACTAAGCTCGCTAACGAGGCGAGTGCGCTATCCTGTACGCCACCGGAGCCGCTCCTTTTTTCTTATGATAGCAAAATAACTTGGAATTCCGCAACTGGAATTGGTTTACCAACCTCTGAGCTCCTTCCCCACCTTAGGCTCAGGCAAAAGTCCTCATATACATAACTGTGAAGCTACTTCTGCATGAGGAATTCTTTAATGCCCCCCGCACGGTAATTATAATTAGCACCTGCGATTAAAACAAGCTCTACCGAAAGAAAGCATAACGCCGACTAAAAGTATTTTGCTTCAATCTGATCTCTTTTGCTAGCGGAAGTAGGAATGAGTGATTCTCGGAAAATCTTCCCTCTGAAGAACCAAGGACAAATAAAAATGAATATGCAATGAACAATGTGACATTAGAAACTAATCTTCCTGTAATGAAGCTATTGAGTGAACTTTGGGGCCCAATTGCTCCAGAAAAAAGGGATACAGAGGATGACAACGAAGCCAATTGATTTACATCACATATGATATCACATAGAATAGCCCGAAAACAAATGCTGGCGCCAAAAACAAATGTTACATTTGTAAAGAACAATTCCAGTTAGACTTCCCCCCCCCCCTCAGATGACTCCCCTGCAAAGGATCACAGAGCCGAAAAAAAATTCAGTAAAGAATGAGATTTTGGGGTTGCAACGGATAAATATTTCCCGAAAATTCCTGGCAAAATTCAGGAATAGAAGCGAAAATGGACGTAAGGCGAAATACTGTCCCACCGGTAGAAGCGAATACCTCTAAGTAACGTATGGTACTCCAAGAAATGGGAATCCTCACAGATTTCTGCCCCCATTCAATAGACGTTACGTGTTGTTCACCGTTGCTCTGAGGCCAGTCCACGCCGATTATGTGGGCGGAGTCATACCTAACATAGACTCCCTTGAATTTCCTCCTCTGGTAAGACGCTCCCTCCCCTTCTCCTTAACCATCCCATCTACCATCTCCCTAAATTCTTCCAACTTCCCACCACCACTTTTCCCAAGTTTTTCCCGGGAATTATCTACTTTTTCCCCAAGAAACTGCCGTCGAGAGGGGGTGTAGGGCATGTGAAACAGGAAAAACTGCGAAAATTAGCAACCAAAAAAAATTTGCTCAAAACAAATACGGCTTCTTCCCTCCACCTTTTCTAAAGAAACATCTTTTCTAGAAGCGAAAGATGGCCCCTCCTTTTAACCACCACATATGACTCCCACTTGCTGGGGATTCCCAATGCACGACGTACTTGGCATAGAAAATTTTTGTGTTGATAGTTGCTTTTCCTGTTCCGCGGTTCCTATCCATATCGTTGGTAGACTTCCAGCGGCTGGGGTAGCAGAGGAAGAAACAGGGAGGGCGGGGGGGGGGGGGTTGGAGGGGGGGGTGTATTTTCCAAAAATTTTCACCACAACAGGACATGCCCTCTTATATACCATTTTCACTTTAAATTCACCCCTTTTCAAACCAAATTCACCCTTTTTCAAACCAAATTCACCCACCTTCCAAATCGAATTCGCCCACCTTCCAAATCAAATTCACCACACTTATTAGGCTGCGCAAGTCATCTACCAAATCACGCCGGACACTACTGCGGGCCCCGCCCCCTCGTGCGCACGCCACTGCTTTTCGGCGGAATTTTGATATTTTTTCAATTTTGCATTTTTGGACTGCTGCGTGAAGCCCCGCCCAGTATGAGAGGCTCCGCCCTTTGGAGAAGCTCCGCCCACTTTTCAAAAATGATGCAAGTCGGCAGTATAAGGTCTTGGCTTTCATGTAGGGTCTCGTTCGTCACTCGGAACAAACTTTGCCTGATTTTCTTGTTCCGAGTGACGAACGAGACCCTAGCATGAAAGCCAAGACCTTATACTGCCGACTTGCATCATTTTTGAAAAGTGGGCGGAGCTTCTCCAAAGTGGGCGGAGCCTCTCATACTGGGCGGGGCTTCACGCAGCAGTCCAAAAATGCAATAATTTTGAAAAAATATCAAAATTCCGCAAAAAGCAAGTGGGCGTGGCCGAGGGGGCGGGGCCCGCAGTAGTGTCCGGCGTGATTTGGTAGATGACTTGCGCAGCCTAATAAGTGTGGTGAATTTGATTTGGAAGGTGGGCGAATTCGATTTGGAAGGTGGGTGAATTTGGTTTGAAAAAGGGTGAATTTGGTTTGAAAAGGGTGAATTTAAAGTGAAAATGGTATAAATAAAGGGTTTCTGACAGCCCAGGCAAAATGAATAGAAAAAACGCTCAGTCTGGTCTAACCAGTAAACCAAGTTTTCAAAACTTTGCCAGAACTATGAAGCAAGCTTTTTCGGGAAGATTTTCATGACAACTACCATGCAAATAAATGACCAGAAAATGAACAGCGCCACGAACACCAAAGCACAATCAAAGCCGCATTTATAGGCATGATGGGCAAGTCGAACCCCTTCGGCTTTCAGTCGTGATGTGTTGGTGTCCACTTGTGCGTGCATCGATGCCAACCTCTGAAAGAACAAACCACGACTTGGGCACAAACCCTCAAAAATTTTCAAATATTCATCAAAAACCTCGCAGGCTTGCTGCGAGAACAATATCGTTGAGAAAATATTTCAAATTCAGCACCCTTTCTTGAATCCGTACACGGAGAATATACTTGAACATCGAACTTATGAAAGGTTTTAAAGTGGGTAAAGGTTTTGAAAGGTTCAAAGTCTCTCACTGTTGGACGTTTCTTGAGGTCTTTGACAAAATCAAGACCTATCAAATTCATACGAAAGGTCTTATTTCACTTTGGCAGATTCAGAAAATGCTGCGCGTCCATAAATTTTGAATTACTTTGAATATTTATGAATCAATTCTCTGCTGCGCAACGGCTAGGAGTCGAGTCCCTACCAAGCGAAACTTTACAGACCAGAAAACAACTTCAATTACCAGCTGTTTGAACAAAGCATACTAATTGATACAAGGCACGCTCTGATGGCACGTTCTGCTGCTCAGCAAAATTTTGGCAAAATACGACCCCAACCCAAACTTCCTCATCTGATAGGACTCTCTTCCCCATCTTACTGACTTTTCCCACTTCACCATTTTTTCTGAAATTTTTCGAAAATTCTCCAATTTTCTGCGGTCGAGTGGAGGCGGGGGGTTGGGGGAGGAATGGGGTGGTATATAGCTTACCTGGAAAGGGAAAAACAGCGAAAATTCAAAAACCGGAAAAATTTTCTCGAGACAGATCGGATAGAACACTCCTCTTGGAGCGGCAAGCAAGTACGACCCGTCCCGTTGGAAATCTGCCACCAACGAAGTGCGTAGCGCGGAAACAAGCCTTCTATTAAGAATCGAGAGCGGATGAGCGTGATAGGGGAATGAGAAGGAAAAGGAGAAGAACACCTAAAAAAGGCCTGACACCCTCGCTCGATAAACCAACTCACTACCTCTCACCATGCCGCCGAAGAAAGTCCCGCTACTGTGACGGTCGGCGAAAATTCAGAAGTTTAATGCGTCATGAGAGCTCGCCCCTCCCCATCATTCCTACCATCTTCTAAATTTGCTCAACTTCCCAACTCCCTACGATTTTTCCAAAAACTATCTACTTTTTTTGCAAAGAACTGTCCGTCAAGCGAGGAAGGGTTATATAGCGAGCGCACATAACACAGGAAAATCTAACCGAGAAAAGTCAACAACCGCCTTAGGGTCCCTCGGAGCTCGGCTCTCACTCAGGTGCAAGCAAAAGTCCTTAGCCCCACTACAGTTCTAGTTTCGGAAAGTCCTTCTAATACCAAATTACTTAAATTTCGCTAATTTCTTTAACGTTATTGAAACCTTCATTATCTCGGGCATGACCGGGCTAACTTGATCCCTGTTCCGGAAGAGGTCGGGCAAGCGTTTCGAAATTACGCCATATTCAAGACTTTCATGTTATTTTGTTATCATTGGCGCACCTTGTAAGCAAGCATAAATAAATGAATAAATAAAAACCTCCTCTGAGGTAATCAGCACCCGACATTTAGTAATTAAACGGCCCACAATCAATAGTTAGTTTTTCTATCCCACCTACGATAAATACTTCTCTTTCCTTGTCATATACCTCCACCCTAGTTGCCATCATTACATCCTTTTCGATGTCTTCAAATAAAGCCGCTTCATCACTCCTACAGACAGACAGAACTTGAGCCTTCATGGCACGCAATACTTGGCCAACAATGAACTTCAAAGCCTGTATGCAGGAAGAAGTTTTAAAGTGCAGATCTTGCACGTTCTCGAAAGCTAAAAGTGCTCAAAATGAAACTCACAGCTGGAACAATACGAAGCGCTAAAAATCCACTGCAGGGAACAATGAAATATCCATAAGGCTGCGTTTATGTCTTGGGAAACTGGAGACAAGGTGCAGCATCGCTGGGAAAATCCTATTGAAAGGGGGGGGGGGGGGGATAACAGGTCGTACTTGGTCACTCGGGATGGAGACCCCTCTTGTTGCTGACATGGCAGAACTACGAAACAACTACCACTTCTGATAGTTGATCAGAAACGACCTCCTCGACGGCGGTTCTCTTTTGGAAAAAAATGGGAAAAATTTCAGAAAATCAGTAGGGAGTTGGTGAGAGTAGAATTTGGCAAGACGGTAGGCAGGATGCGGAAAAGGTGGTTGTACTGGAAGAAAAAACTCAGGGAGGGGTTACCGCCATTTCACCCATCCCGACGCTGTGCCTTGACAGGAGAACTGGAAATGCAGCGAG